TTGTCAGCCTCGACGCCTACAGCTAATGTCCCAGGTTCGAATCCTGGTATTAACTTTTAATTGCTCTTAGAAGACGCAAAACCTTTTAATTTTTATCTGAACTTTTCAATGTGACGTGCGGGATATGATATAGACTCTAGAGCAAGCACAATTGAATATCCACACACGGTATCTACACCTATTGTAATATACTTTCATTCCATTAGTTCTGGACATGACCCGGATCTGGAGGTTTCTCAGGTTCCGTCGACATCAGCTAGATATGTAGCACGATAACCACACCCCAAGTCTGAATAAATACAGTAGCCGATGTAGCTCAACGACAGAGCATCGCTGTTCTATGGAAGCTCAAAGAAGAAGCTTACGAGTACAATGGCGAACGGCTGTAGGTTCAAATCCTACCATCGGCTCTTGCTCTGGGTCATCAAATGTACTTATTTATTTTATCTCCGGATCCTTTTGATGAAAGAAGGAAGACGTGATCATGATAGATCCTCAACTTCCTCCAGCCTCACCGCAGGCTGAAGTTCGAGCTTTTACTCAATCTTGACCTCAACCAGGAACCTTGGTTGAACCAGTTCACCTTCTACTTGAAGCTTGAAATTTGAAACCTTGAACCCTCCAGCACCGATCTACCTCAAAGAAAGATAGAGCCTTGGATAGAGCATCGAGATTCGAGGTTGCTTCCGAGTTAAATGTCCTATAGATATCAATCCCAAGCCAAACTTCACCTTAGGTTCGAATCCTGCATTGGCCATACCTGGACCTCTAATCATTTTTCGTGACCATTGGCCTATTTGATATCTAGTATATAAACGGTGCATCCCTGTTCGATATTATTGATATGATAAATTAGGCGATATATACGTAGGAACACGCCATGCCCCCTACACCCCCCCCTCACAACTTCATCGATGCATCCCAAACACAGTACTTGCACAGTACTTAGAGGCTCAAGTATTTAAGGGACTAATTATAATTATAAAGAACGGCCAATGTAGCTCAATGAAAGAGCATCGCCTCCTCATATCGGGGGCCATAAGAACAGCTTGAATACAGGCGAAAGGCGTAGGTTCGAGTCCTACCATTGGTAGTGGGCTATTGAGAACGTGTTCTCTTTCTTTCGATCTAGCGCTCTAGTGCTCAGCGCTCCTGAGGGCTGTGTGCCTTTGTTCGTTCCGTTCGTTCATCCACGTTTTCAACGATCTCGAGATCATGCATCAACCTTGTGCGCCACATTTCATCTACCTTTTACAGTAAATCATCGTGGCATCTTATAATATGTATTCCTTGAAAGTGGCTCGTGCTTCAGGGATACAAACCCTAAGTACTAGATACAGATAGCTAAATTTCCGAGGTTCGAATCCTGGCATTAACTTGATTCTCTGGTTGAAGTCGCGGAACCTCTTTTTTCTCTGGACCTGCCAGTGCTCTGGACCCTTCAGTGTGATTTGACTCGTACGTGATATAATATAGACTATAGAATTGAATATCCACATATGATATAGAGCCTGAGTATCTAAGCCCATATTATATAATGAATCCCGGGCCGTCCAGGACCCCATGCCAGAGGATTCTCCATAAGTAGCACGATTTATAACCACATCCCCAAGTCTTCCCTTCTACTTAAAAACCCAAGATGCAGTATACTAGCCGATGTAGCTCAACGATAGAGCATCGCAGTTCTATCTTAGGGTGATATTTGGATACAATGGCGAACGGATGTAGGTTCGAATCCCACCATCGGCTCTCAATCGGCTCTCAGACTCGGGAGACTCACTTCACTTTTTTTCTTGAATATGAATGGCAGGGATTGCTTACTTACTTACTTATTTATTTCATGAATCGGATCCCTCAATCAACTTCAACACGGAAGGAGGAAGTCTTGCATGGACGTTCAACCTACCCAATCATGTGCATTAATGTCAGCTTACCTCGGTGATCTGGCCCAGACTCTTGGTTTTGAAGCCACTGTTGCAGTGTCTAAGTCACACAAACGACGGCATTCACTTAGTTACTTCAGTGGTAAGCCCGAGCCTTATATTCGACCTTGGATTCAATTGAGACATGAAATTAGACTCAAACACATATATCGACATCAGTAGAAATAAGATGTCTACTGTACAAAGACAGAATCGAGAAGACTACAGTAAGGTGGCCCTTCTCTGGAACTGCGCACGACTAGGAACCCAACCTGGAATTTTGCGTCCTGGATCTTCTTTGTTCGGAGCCTGTTGCCTAGTATCTGGATACCCACGAGGCGCACTTAGTTGTGCACGTGAAAGAGGTCCCTAGTCAACAATTGTTGTTACTAGATTTGCAACGTAGAGAGGATCAACGACAATTTACATATGCTGTGAGGCCGTTGGCGCTACTCGGACATCAATCAATTAGTTCAATCAAGCTTGCCAATCAGGATAAGTAGCACGCACTGGACAATGATACCTGGGACACCTCTGAACCAGGCATTTGTATTGTCCTGCTCAGACGGAATCGCAGGATCATCACTACCCAATAAAAAGTCAAACTTTGCCGTCAGAAGGAATAGTGAAGGTCTTACCCAAGACCATCGCCAATCTGCAAATCGAGAAAAGATCAGATTGTACGATCATGATTTGTTCAGCTTACACTCCCGGGATGAGTATGAAAATTTGCAACCACAACCCAATCTCTTGGGAACGTTCCAAGATTCCTAAGGTCAATGCCCAAGTGAGCATTAGTAGCGGGGTTGTGTCGATCTACGACTGGAGACAATCTCGAATCTGTGTCTACAGGTACCTCGCGAACATTCAGCGTCTCTGGATCAGCATAAGTTAGTCTACATGATCGTTCGGAATAAGATTTACGAGTGGTCCTGTCCAAGAAAATGAATCTTGTTGACATAAGTTTAGCGTGATTATCTTGAGTATCGAGGAACCTCTTACCCGCCCTAGCTTAGCGTAAACACACATCATTGATTCAGAGGGGGTCACAACATACCCTTTCTTGTTCTGTTGTTGCGCTTGGATATGACGCATCCCAGGCAACCTGCGCGAACAATGAATGGTATGAGACCAAACTTGCTCAGTTATGAACAAATGATTGCATACCTGAAAGGCGTCCCGAACCCCGGGGTCGTTTGCAATAAGCTCAGCGGTAGGTCCTTCACCGTGTCCGTTTTGCCAAGCTGCGGCATTGTTTGGCATGACCACGGTCACTCCTCCAGGGGAATTAAAAGCAGAACATTCACCGACACGCTTCTGCAGTATGGCATCATTGGAATCAAGCCGGCTCCTGGTTCTGAGAGCAGTTGATGTTCCAAGCATGCGCGGGACAAGATCCTGTCGATCTTCCAAAAGTTGATTCGTAAGGAGGTTAGGAGGAGTCTTTCCGTCCCAGGTGCATGGCATGCACACCCCATATTTATAGTCCCAGGCCATTTCTACTGAAAATCAGAATACAAGATGAGTCTGAACATCGACACGTACGACTGGGACACGGAGGCGTGCCGCAAGTTGAATCAAGTAAGTCAAAGTAACCATCTGAAGGGCAAGGATGATATATAACGCCAAAAAGAACATTTGACTATCCCTTACATTCGCCTGAAATTCCGTTGTTCTTGCATTGGCTGTCCACCGGGTTAAATGTAGGAGTTCGAGAGGAGGAATAAACAACATACGAGGGTTTCTCGAAATAAGCATTATCAACTACTGCATTGTGGGTTTCGCATCCTTCCTCCCAACTGGCGCTGATCTGTGTGAACCATATATACAATGAGAAACTCACACAAGATTTCGTATTCTCTGACTCACGCCCAGCAGGTGAGAACTCCTGCAAGAAAAATCAAATCGAAAATGGAAGATTGGGAGTTGTTGATATAAACCTACCACCTTCGTAGGCCATCCCCAACGCAATCCCCCTTCTGTAAAAAAAACTCGCATCGAGGCATCAATACATTTCCATGATGACGCTTACCAGCATGGTATCCCAATGACCATTACATTCTTCGAAAGGAGCACTATTCCACGCTGAAAAGAATCAATTAATAGATATTTCTATGAACGACGGATACAAGACTTACTACCCCACATGCCATACATTCCAAATAATCCTCGTTTGCTACAGGAGTCAGGTTT